TAGAAACAAACAGGAAACTGTTTCGAATATGTAGCCTATTTACACCAAGATACTGCAATAAAACTTTCGCCGTCAGATTAGCTATTTTATTGAAATAAAAAAGTTGTGTGATACCTCACAGAGGACACAACGACGTGCGGTAGCAAAATCGGGCGCGTCTCCTAACTGTAAGTTGCTTTGTCGTGTTCAAAATGCTCACAGATTCTCAACGGTTTGATAGNAGTACAACTGCATATGTTGAATGGGGAGTGAGACTACTTTGGAGGGTGGGAGCTCCCGGGTATAGCAGTACTCGGGAGATATGCACAGTTACACACTGTTAGGAGCGTCCCAGAATTGTGGACAGGGAGACGACTTCATCGATGACTAACGGAGAATAAGCCGTGGCTCAGTGTGCTAAGTCATCAGTCCTAAAAAGAGCGGTGGCACTACCAGTTGTTGGATGTGACATATTGGTCACCTATCTCTCGACAGAAGCCACGAGAGCACAAAAACGGTTCCGTAACAAAGGGTGATGTGGCTTTCCCTGTAAAGATAACTTCACTAACCCCTTACACAAGAGACGAGGGTAAAAGAGGGAAACGCACAGTTGCATTGTTATCAGCTACGCCCAGGATTATGAGAAACTGGGTCCATCGCGATTAGCGGCGGATGAACCTGCTACTCCGTCTCTGTCTTTCTGATCGAATGGCTTATGAACCACTTTGAACACCGGCAACCACTAGACTACAACTCCCGGGCGCTATTCCGCTGAGTTGTGGATTAGGCTTTGAATAATTGCAAACCCAGGATGCAACTCTCTAAGAAATTTCCTTTACTCGGTCTGAGCAACCAGCAAGTACGCTGTCTCGGCTCGAACTGAGGATATCATCTTACGTTAAAAACTTTCAGGACTCTTCACGGATATTATATCTATCAAACCGATTTGTAATCCCACAGGAGATGGTTGCATAGAAGTAAAGTAACATAGTACATGCGAAACTCTTCAAGCAGTCCGGTCCAGGAAAAGTTGACAACAAGAAAGTCGCTTTGCTGTCATGTACTTTAGTGCTTCCACGCAAAGTTAGGACAGCAGCTTGGAAGGCGGCCGATACTAAATACAAATAGTAGATCCATGAGTTTCGTTACGCCTTGTCTCTAAGTCATCCGTTAACCTCCACGTGACTTTCTTCAACCTTGAGAGACAACACCAACAATGTGCGATGCAGTGAACAACTGTCACCGGCTTGCCTTTGGACCCTGTGATCCGACGTTCGAGCCCCGTCACCGCCACGCAACTTTGGCGGTAGGCAGCTCTGCTATCGCCCGGTTCTATACCACACCGCCTCCCAAGGCCTCAGTATGGTTGGGGGTGGGTGTCTAGGGTTGCGGCTGGTCACCCTGCCCTTGCACCTCACGAAATGCCCCCATACGACCAAGCGTCTCGAATAGCCTCTGCTGACGAAGCCCTACTCACTGCCTTCTCGCGGCGGAGGTGTTTTCCCAC